ATTAATGGGATTTTGTAATATAACTATTTCTCTTTTTTATGAAAATATAGTGATTATTTATAAAACGAAATTTAAATAATTTTTCTTATCTTATTCATGAATTTAAACCATTTTCATTGGCATAGATTTTAAAGTTATGTTTGCGAAGATATAATACTTACAGGTGAACATAGCCTAAAATGACACTAGGGTAAAAGGTACACAGATTATATTTTAAAACGCTACAAAATACATTTCAATTTATCATTCTATGCTGTTCAGAAGGTGGCAGCAGCGATCATTACAAAGTTTCGACATCACGAACAGTCTTTTGTTAAAGGGAAAAGAAAATTAAGAAAATTCTTCCTTTCAATATAATATTGTATGTGTTATGCAATTTTTTTTCATCGTAGACTTAATTCATAAATAATTGAAACGTAATGCTTTCAAATATAAATAATTTTCTTTATAAATAGCAACAAACCATTCTTCTATCTCTATAAGTTATGTTATAACTTATTATTATTATTCATTGAGGGTAAGATATTAGCTATTTCTAGTGCTTTGACTGAATGTTCAAGTTGCAGACTAATAATGTAACGATACTGACACTACGTTATAATAATTTAGGTCCACAGAAATTCAAAATGAAAAAGATTGCAACTTTCAAAATATTGATGAGAGTGATAATGCTTGCCTTTACTGTGATGACCTTTACAGTCGTTCTAAATGTGGAGAAACATGGCTTAAATGTAAGAATGTTCTTTCTAGACAGATAAATGTTTAGGCCTCATCAAGAGAAAAGATCAAATTTATGAGATGTATGCAGAAAATCATTCAAGCGCATCGTTTTATCCTAGAAACTAGGATAAAATGAAACAGTTTTATTGTTTTTGAAACATCTGCAACTTTAAAACAGTGTGAATTTTTCAGTTGTTGTTCTTAGTATTATTTATATTGAATATTATTCAGTGTAAGGTTACATATCAATAAATTACTAAGCAGCTTATCTAAGAAAATATTTTTACATGCTTTTTTTAGGATATGTCATTTTAGGTTAAGTTATCCTTCCTATTTGTACTTATTTAACATAATGAAAAAAATAAGGCATTCTAATTATGTAAACTGATACAATTTAAATTATTTTATATTTACAAACATATTTGCTTATTTATTGTATCGAGACATGAATGAAATATAATAAATTGTTTTATTTAACTTTTGAAAATGTTTATTTAAACAATATACAAAAAATTATATTATAATTCTAATATTTAATTTCTAAATAAATTCCAAGGAAATTTTGTTATAGATGTAGTAATTTAAATATTTGTTCTTATCACAAATAAACAATATTAAAAAATATAATATAAAAATATTTACTGAATTTTTTTGCCGTCCTTTAGTTGTTTAGTGTTAATTATATATAATTATTATCATAAATTTTTATCATTTTAATACTTAATTTATTTTATTTTTAATTTCTTTTAATCATAGGATAAAGATTTTTAAGATAATAAATTATTCCTTATTAGTTTTTAATGGAAAAATCCATTGATTCAGAGTTCATAAATTACATTGCTTACAGGTACGACTATTATAATATAATTAATTTTTTTTCGCTAAAATTAGATAAAAATAACATTCTTCACATTGATTAATATATATTAGTCAATCGATATAATTTATAAAAGGCCTTACAAAATAGTTTTTATTTTATTTAAACATTTTATTTCTAACACTTATGACATAAAATTTGAAAATCGATTAAACTTAATCGCTTATTCGGAATTTTTATAATTTTAAAAATTAAAATAAATTATATAACATATAACATGTTTTAAATTTAATTGAAAGTAATTCTATTCTAAAAATTATTCATTTATTTTTTCGTAAAATTTCGTAAAATCTGGAAAATATCTTCTACAAGTAATAAATTAATCGGAGTTAACATTAAGTAATTTTTTAACATAAATAAATTTAGTTATTAGGATAGTTTAATTCATTTATCAGATAAATTGAAGATTGTTTAATATCTTTGGCATTCTGCCAGCATCTCATCTAATGAAGTTTCTTCAGATTATAAGGATAATACGAAAAGAACTTCGTTAACACGTTCTTGTCGGGTCCTGAAAGAAAAACTGTAGTCAAGAAAAGGGATGGTGTGCGTGACGAGGACGCTATGATTGTAATAAGCGACAAAACGTGTCGAGGAACGTATTAACTAAATTCCTCTGAGAACGAATGTTGTATTTTCATCTATATCTAAAATATTAAACCATAGTCTCGTTTCTCTTAATCTCTTTTCGAACTGAAGTAAACATCAATACTATTATTGTCCAGTTATAATTTTTTAAAGCGATCACCAACATAGCAAATAAAATTATTAAATTATTATAGAAATATCATAAAATATTTAAAATTACTATAAAATATTTGTTGTAAAATAATGATGTTATATTTATTAATGATCAAAATAAAATACTGTATTTAAAATTTGTCATTTCTTACTTTAACATTTTATTTGAATATAATACTAACTTGGAAATACGTTTGGGAGCATTTTAAAATACAGTAAACTTAAAATATTTAATATGAAATTTTTTCTTTTAAATTTGTTTATTACATATTAGAAATAATATCTTTAACTTAGAATAATGCATTTAAAACCTTGCCATTAAGTTTAATACGTATAGGCTAAATAATTTTTAATAAAATATTAAACCCTGTTAAATAATCAAAAAATACATATAGTTGTTAATACATATAGTCAAAAAATATGTTGAAAAATGAAAAATTATATATATAATATATATAGTTTTACATGTAATTTGAAATTCTATTTATACATAAATAATTTGATTTATAAATTCTCTAAGACAATTGTGCACTGTTAAATGGAAAAGATATTTTTTAAAAAGTAGCTCGTATAAAATTTATTTTAATCTTATGTATGCACTTCTATGTTAAAACACCGGGAAAAAAGATTTAAAGAAATAGTAATTAAGAGTAGACTACTTCACACATTTTATTCTATCGTATGCTATTAATTCAAAAGAGATTGTGAAATTATATTCCGCATGACAATATAATAGATCATAAAGATTAAATAATAAATTCTGACAGAAACAGTAAATGAATATTCATTAAATAAAATTTTCTCGCATTCTTAATGACTTTCATATATTTAAAAGTCAATATAGTGCATTAAAGTAAGGGACAGAATACATAAAATTTTACAGTGCATTGAATAAAAACACATTAGTTTTTTGTTTCAATGTAGATGTATGCGTTAGTCATTTATATTAAAAAAGTCTAATCGGGAAACAGTTGACTTCGTGATGGGAAGGATTATTATGAGAAAGTGCATGGGAGAAATAATGTAGGCAAATTATACTACGATTAACATAGAAGATAGAAGTCTAGCAACCATAAAATAAACTAATAATATTGTATTATAACAGATATACCGTTAATTATAATTAATAATTGAGATTAAATATAATATTCGAATTAAAGTCACTCTACTTAATAGATAATTAATTTTAGTTACTTCATTAACTTAATAAATCACATCGTTTTTTCTTTTAACATTTTTCTTTGCATTTAGTCTATACAAATGTGTATTTTCATAAGTAACTTAAAATAAGGAATTCTTATAATTCAAATATCAACATACCCAGAATAAGAAACAGTACACTCTCCTTAACTAAAAAGTTTTATCAAATTAAAATATTAGCTCATTTATTCATAATTTAGTTATTTCATTTGTTAATATCATAGAAACGTGTTTAATTTTAGATTTAGTTATATCTATATAATAATAATTTATATTTATATNTAGATTCTAATTCTTTAAAGTTTTATTATTTTTAGCCAATATACAATTGAAATTATTAAAAATATATTTGTGCAATTTCTTATTAAGTTAAATATTATTATTAAAATCAAAAAAATTTCATATCAAAGAATTATAGACATAAAATAGATCCTTTATATAATACCATTCGCTTTATTGCATTACATTCCTAAATCCAATTTGTTTTTTTCCTAAATCCAAACAAATGCCTAAGGTATAATATCGATACATATTGGGTATTATTGGGCTAAACAATGTAATTATTAGCTGGAATCACTTTATTGATCAATAACGTTTGTAAAAAATAATAAATATTGCGACAGTTTTCTTTTAATTATTTCAATATCAAATTTTATTCTAAGAACTCAATCGATATGAAATAGTTTGTATTAAAATATTATTTAAATCTTTAAAAAATTTGAATTTGTAAAAAGCATTTTGTACACAGGCTACACGATGTGTTACTAAACATTATAATATTCATTAACACATCGATTCTGAACATTTATAATTTTAATATTTATTTCTTATTTGAATATTCATAAATATTATAACTCTTAAAATATTGTAATCTAAATTTTTAAACATTATATCACATACATGTGTAGTGCAAATTTACGTAAATTTATATAAGATAGGTATAAAAATATAGGCTAGTGTTTAACTTATTCTAATATAGTATAAATTTTAAGTCATACTTTTCACACTGCTTAAGAGTTAATTTTAATTAATTTATTTTTGCCATGTATTTTATTTGTGATTTTATAATTTTTTTTATAAAAATAATGCATCGACCGGATTTTTAAAGGAAAAAAAAATAGTGTTAAAAGACTAGAAACCCAAATATATTAGAAATTTGATAGAAAATCGAATTTGTTTACTAAGAATAATTTAATTGTGTCATTTAAAAAACAGTTTTAATTTACGAAAACGTATTTGAAAGAAAATGAAGCGTAGTCGAACAAGAGCGATAAGAAATTGAGGTAAATGTAATGTTATTTATTTAAACGTTTTATAAAAATATTGTCGCCAGATGTCGTTGTTATGCAAATATAATAAAGAACCCCGACCACGAAGTAACCTGCTGCTTAAAGCACGCCAATAACCCTCTTAAACCAGCTTCTCCTAATAAGGTCGTAACCTAGTTTTCTTATGAAGAATACAACATTTGTAACTTTACACATTTCTGATAGAAACACGCTTACAAATGGCGAGGGGGAAACTCGATCTTATGTTGATACAACAGCCAAGGGATAGATTAATATCTCTTTGGAGTTTCTAAAATAGGTCTAACTTTTCTGTTGGTGAAAGGCAAGAGCAGAACAGGTTCTGACAGCTGACGTCACGGGGAGAGCGCTCTCCTGCAGTGTGCGACCAGTCACACTCAGTCACTCCTGTTTGTGCCGTTACCCGATCGTCATCTGCCAACTCTCCGCGTGTAGCACTCAGCTGTCGAAATTCCTGTTGATTCCTCCAAACTTATAATACATGTTAGACAGAATAGACTTTTATGGACCGTCCAAATAAGCAGATTTGTCGTAATTATGGACTGCCGTGATATTGTCAAAACGTCCCATTCCGAATTTAAATGGATTCTGATGTTTATTATTGTTGTGAGGACATGTGCGGAGCAAGGAGAAATCCCCTGCATGCTCAAGTGTAAATGTGAAGAACAAGAGGATTCCTTTCAAGTGGATTGCTCCAACCAGAGTTTGACGAAAGTACCTGCTGGATTAAATCCATCGACAATATCACTGTAAGTATCATTTTCTTTAATTATAGTAAAACTAATCGAAGAGTTTAACATAGTAAAAATCAGGAAAGAACTTTGATATTACGGTAATTAATATAATTGTTTGGAAAGGAGAGGAGAAAATGTATAAAACCCTATGAACAGATACGTTTATAAGGATGTCTTGTATTTTGTTTGTAATAAGGAAGACTGTTGTTGTGGGATATCCTCATCACTTACTTTGATAAAATGATCGGGTTCATTTGCCGAAATTATGGTTTGACCCGTTCAGATCATAAATATCCTTGATTAGGATCCTTCCCTTCGTCTACACTCCCACGGTAAGGTGACCCTGGTTCGTTGACTTTATTAGCTATCGGAATTTGAATAAGCAGTTGTAACCTAATTGGAATTTCTTTTCCATTTATTCGGTACCTTATAACGATCATCGTAAATTTATTAAATAACTACTTAAGTTTCTGTATTTATGTCTTGCAGTGTATATTATAATATTTAATAATCTATTAAAAACTTATCTGAAATTAAACGCCGAGAATTAATAATAAAATCTGGAATATTATTAAATCTAAAGGAATAAATCTAAAATAAATTGATTTTTTATAAATATCTTAAAGGATTAAAAGTTGTTTTATTAATTTTAATATTCCTTTTATATAAATAAATCATTTAATCAGTGCTGATTATTTCTATTACAAAACTACTAAATTATATATCGATCAAACAACGCGCATTAAAATTCCTTAAATGACTGAAAATTATTTAATATTGTTCGAAATTAAAATTATTACATATTATATAAAACTTCTCACTGCTCTGAATATAGAACTTTATTAAGTTATCGAGAAAATATCTTTAAAAAATTATAAATTATAATTAAAATAACAATGATCATTTTAATTATATCAAATATTTATTTAAAATTTTTAATACAGTTTCTTGATAAATATAACACTTTATGGTAAAAAATGTATTTAATACATTAGAGAAAATGAAAAGAAAATCTGATAAATCAATACACTTTACTTAATTTCTGAATTTATTTCATAATGTTAGGTTAATAACAAATTTTAAAATATAAATATTGCATTTATACTTTAAAATAATATTTCTTATATAATATTTAGATTTAGGAACCTCATTAAAGTTTTATGAACAGTAAATGTTGACATAAATCAATAAAAAAATATTACATGAACTATAATAAATTTATGATTAAGTCTCGGCATATTTAAATTCGCTATTGCACGTATGTAATTATTATGTCTATAATTCTTATTTACTTAATTTTCTGAATTACCTTCTTAAAGATACCAGTAATTAATATTAGGGAAATAACACTGTATATTTCATTTAATACCGTATCTAGTTCTCAATTATAACTGATATTATACCAAGAATAATTTACAACAATTAATAAAAATTTAAAATAAACATCGGTTTAATAAATCAATTTTAATGGACAGAATAGTTATTTATTTTCTAAATCTTTCTGTGTCGAGAGTAAATCGAAAAATTTGTCAACTTTTAATTAACTTATCAAAACAAACAATATTATAAATTGTTTGATTTACCTTATAGGTAATTTTTCGGTTATCTAATTACGTTATTACGTAAGTGATCATAATGCCCGACTCAGCGGAAAAATCAATTCTCGAATAGCTTTCGTCTATAAAAGTATTAGATTGATTGATCATGTTACAAAAAATCACTGAAAATAAAAGAAAAAAATACAAAATTTTATGAATAGTACTATAAAAATGTCATAGGCCATTATAATATGATACAGATGCAATTTAGTTTCAAGTCCGGATGAAAAAAAGAACATTTATCTGTCAACGAAACAATTCCTAAATACAGTATTTTTATAAAAGAATAGAAATAATTCATTTCATAATATAAAATACGGCTTTCATTCATATTATAGCAAACTTCTTCTTGACAGTAAAAGCCAATATTTATCTTCAGTAACGTTTCGCTAGAGTCATTGATAATAATTCACTATATATTCCGTAATCTTGAACTTTTATTCAATATTGTTATAAATAATGAAATGACAGAAATATTATCTGATAATTAATGTCATTTCATCATATTTTTCCACAATGTGATGTCTTTCTTCTATCGTTTACGTTATCAAAATACATTAAGGTCTTTTTCATGTCAGATAGTTGGCGATATCTGTTCTTGATATCACTTTTAATGCTTGTAATATTTTCTTGCAGATAATTTAGCACTAAGTTCTCTTTCTTTCGTACTATTATTTTGTATATTTGACGTGGTAAAACCAATTTTACTTCCTATAATATAAATTAGAAGTTTTTAAATTCGATATACTTATAGCTAATATCTTAAATACATCTTAATAAACGTTTTAAAAATAATTTTAGGGCGCTCTTATTTCATTTACATTTATATTCATAATTGCGACATTAGTTGTCGTAATTATGTAATATTAAAACTTTTTTCATTACGAATTATAAATGTATCAAACTATTTTTTTTATATTTGCAAAAATATAAATGTAGTTTTAAAGAATTCACAAAGAAAATATATTTAGAAATACTGTAAAATTTTCTTGCGTGTTCATATAGAATTATTAAACAAATTATTAAGGTAATAATAAATTGTTGTTTTAGTTCGAACTTTTTGATTATTTTACATGTTATTAGCGCTATAAATATAGTGATTAATTTCAAAAATTAATGATTTATCCTCTTCCTTCATTGATTATAAAACTTTTATCCTCAGTGACAACGAAACAGTTTTTCTTTCATTTTTTCAAACCAGATGCTAATATATTATCAATTTTCATTAGCAAAATTTGTAAAAATCTACAAAAATAATAAAAAATTTTATATCATTCAGTTAATTTTTATTTTTCTTCTTAAGTAAATTAATAAAGAAAATTGAGATAATAATTTTAATTAAATATGATATTGTTTTCAATAAAAAACTGCAGAAGATAATTTAATTGAAATTTTTATCGTTNATTATTTTGGTACATTAAGATCGATGGCCGGCAGTTGCGCGAAATACTATGGACAAAAAGAAAAATTGCCTGGAGCACCTACCAACAGGAGAACCCAAAACAATCTTTTATAAGAAAATAGTTCCAGAAAACGTTTCCCGGAGAACAATATCTGAAGTCAACACTATACTGTACGTATGGCTTCTAATTCAAGTTGATTCCGTGAAGCTATAACGCGCCACTGATGGCCGGATGGTCAAAGAAAGCAGTTAAGGCCACAGCCTATTCGCTCTGGAGAACCCGGGCGAGCGACTCTCAGAAATTTTTCATGCGCGGTAAGTCCCGAATCTGTCGGGCCTCGTCCCTCACCACACAGCCGGCCCATTGTGGACCTAATTAGACATATAATGGATATGAGAAAAGGCTCTTTTAGTGTTCGCAGAAAAAATCATATTAAGATTCAGAAAAATGTTTCATAATAAATATATGACTATTTTTTAATGTAGAAATAGATATTTGTTGATTCTTATTACAGTAAAGTCCCGAAAACTCGGCCTAATGAGGACCGAAGGGTGGCCGAGTTTGCCGGGTTATCGGGAATGGGGTTAAAAAAGAATAAGTACGCGTGTTTCCTCAGAAAATACTGTACTGTACTTGTACGTATTGTTTGCTCGAGAATACAAAAGAGAATAAACTGCCCAAATACCCTTAAACAAAGGAAAAGTACGTACTTTATGAAGGCATAGAGCCTTTACTACACGAAAATGAAAATTAATGAATACACAGTGTACAGTAATTTACCCGATAAGATAGATCTCAGAAAAATACTTTATGAGGCATAAAGCTGTCTATAATGAAAATTAACTAGGGGTTTTCCCCCCTGCCAGGGTGTGGCCGAGTTATTCGGACTCTACTGTATTAATTTTTGTTTTAATTTAAAGATCATTAAATCTAATTAAAATGTAAACACTTCAATGGCATACAAGTAAGTTTAAGTATAAAAATAGCAATGGCATAAATGTTTAACGTATTCAGATCATTAATCAATTCTTGATATTTTTAAAGTGGCGCCTTAAAGAAAATTGTAGCTATTTTAAATTGAAATAAATAATTTTATACATTACACGGAGAAAGTTATTGAATTTTTCTTATTATTGATTGAGACCGTAACCAAAATTGAATAGTTTTATCGATTATTCCGATTTAAACAAATTATAAATCAAATATAAAAAAACTTTCTCCATTATTTTTAATAGCAGTTAAAAATAGAGAAAATTTGAATTTATAATAACGTTTAAATTATTCACCGCCCGGAATACTTAATATTCACTTTTAAGTATAAAATTTATTTTACGGGGCAATATGAAATATTGAAAATAAACAAATCTATAGATGGAAGAAATTAATTTATAAATTTCGTTGTCCCGATAGTCACGTGGTAAAGAATTAACCCATGGCTGTGGGGATCCGAGTTCGAATTCGGTCCGTATCCGTATAACGTCATTCTTCATCCCTCACCCACAATGATCGATACCATTGCGGGTCAGGCCACCGGTAATGGGGGTAATTGCGGATGACCAATTACTCGCAATATGCCGATGCCTCGCGTTAATTAATCAATCGATCAATTTGTAAATTTATTAAAACTGTGATTAAAATAACCTAGAATCTCGCTTCAATTATGAATTTTATTAAATCAAATTATAAGCGATTGCTTTACGAAACGTAAATTATATTTTTAAAATTTCATATTTTTTGTTCCGAAATATACGGTATAATAATTGCTTTTACATAAAATTAAAATATTTATTTTTCTGTTTTTAAAACTCCATTCAGAGTCTAAATTTTAGACTCTGCCAAACGGCTTATTTAGCTATATATAACAGCTTCTGGCACAATAGTTTATAAGGTATTGTATCGAAAAGCAGTAACTAATTACATAATTTTAAATGTACAGTCGGTTCCAGAACAGTTAGCGGAGCTTTTTTACAATACTTTTATCATAAATTACAACTTTTTCGTGTGAAAAAAGATC